TGTTTTAAAGATAAGAAAACCAATATTGTGCGTAGATTAAATCATAGCATTTTAAAAAGTAGTGTAGATGAAGTTTGGAAAGTAATAAAATACCTGCAAGTTTTTTTAAATGTATATATCACAATAGTAAAGCTGAAAGCAGTGTATTTAACAGTAATTTTGGAGAGGTTGGGAAAAGGAGGATAGTTTGATAATATATAATAATTTATTTGTTTTGCTGATGATTATCAAAGTAGGCGTACAATTGTCTTTATCTCTAGTATGCAATCATTCACTTATAGAGACAGTGGCATCATTTTCAGTGAAAGAAAAAAAGCATGGAAATGTATGTCTATGGGAAATAAGAGAACTACATAAACTCAAAAAAATTCCGACAGGTATTTGCTTCCACAGTAATTTAATAAAATATGATCTTAAACATTTCAAATCATCTGCTAGTTTTCAATTAATTTGAACAAGCAAATTAGGATCAGGATGATAATCCTGAGCTACTCAAACTGCTGTACAGCCATTAATGTCTTAATTGAACTTTTTGTTATAGGTTGTGAATTTGGAGATAACACAAATAAGTAAGTAATTTTTTTGATTTATTTTCCTTTTGCATCTCTGAAGCATTTACTGAATTTCCTCTTCTTGTGCCTAAAAAATACCCTAACCAGAGGAAATATCCAGCAAAAATGAGCTTTTAAGAGAAATTTTAGGCCTTTGTATTTAATAAAGTTGCAACTTTATACTATTCTGATGAGGCAGCCTACCCACTGGTGTCTGAAATTTAATATTGAAAGGTATTCCACATTTGGAAGTGGGTACATACAACTGCCATTTATTTGTAAGATCAAATACTGATCACTAGAAAAAACATGCTCTAAGTATTAGAGCATCAGAATATCTGTTCTATATTATGGCCCAGAAAACATTCCCCTGAGTGGCTGTTCAAAATACATACTCTCTGAAAAATATTGTGACTTGAAGAATGAAGCTTTTTTAGTCTGTACTTGATGGTTTTTTTATTCTTTTCAGTTTCAAAATCATGGAAATAAATGCAAAACTTACCTCGGTTATCTTTGTCTTTATTGAGGCAGGAGAAAGGTTGCATTTTGATGTGATGACATTGTAGATGCAATCTTTATAAGAGTAAATTTACAAACTTTAGATGTCAGGCTTAGTTTTACTTTCTAGCTTTACATATGAAAAGATTTGAAAAATGCATTAAAGGAAATAATAAAACCCTACATATCCTACGTATCCTTTGACAGTACTACGTACAGCTATTTAAAATCAAGCTAATTTGTGTTGAAAGATTAATTCTTACCTGCTTTCAGTGGAGTTAGCTGTCCTCATTGGTAGAATGGATGTACGGCTTCCTTGAGTCTTATTTATGTACATGCTGAAGCTTTGCAAGGCGCCTTTTCATGGCAAAGTGCTTTAAACTTGGTGGAGATAGTCCTGTGGTTCATATTAGGTGTGTGTTACTACTGGTACACCTCTAAGAAATAAGTTCTTATAAAATGACCTCTAAGAAACAAGTTCTTATAAGATTTAGTATTGTATCTGAGTTGGAAGGTTTTGGTCTAACACAAAGTCCTTGTCAATCCTACATTGATGCGCATCTGCTGCTTTCCTCTCGCAGACTACAGCTGTGGCAGGATACATGAACAACACAAGCTCACAGTATTCTGGATTCAGAGCTTGGAGAATGGAGATTTGCCTGAGGGCTAGTTAAAAGATACACAGCAAAATAAATGTGCATTTGCATTAATCAGTATCAAATTGCTTGAATCATGTCAACTGAATCAGAGTATTAAAAGTATACAATTATAATTTTTGTGGGAAAAAATTGAAAAATATTATTTCGCTTTAAGTTTACTATAAATGTATTTTAAATAACTTATACCTGATTTTTCCCCATTAGAATCCTGTGGTTCTAACCTTTTCTCATTTTGTTTTGCTTTCTGAAATTTGGTAAAAGAAGAAAACCTTCTGAAAATTTTAAATTTTTAAATCCTCACTATTAGTGTCATCATGACTGCCAACTTCACATTCTACACTGTGTATTGTATATTAGTTCCACAGTAGTTTGGAAACATTCAGATAATGGACATTTGCTGTGTTCTTTTTGCAGAGTACCATTTGAGAACCCCGAAGATGCAGTTTTAGTACGGGCAATGACAAGATCTCTGACAGAATTTTCCTCTGTGGACTGGAACAAGGTAGCTACCTGTCAAGAAAGACGTCTTCAAAATAAAGCAGAAGAACCCCTTGAGAAGCTGACAGTCCAATTTAGATGAGTCCTTTCTTCCTTAAGAAAAAAACAATTCCTCTCTCTAGCATGGAGCCCCATAAGTAACAAGTACATGACAACATGCATCGAATTAAATGAATTTCCAGAAAAAAACTGTGTAATATAATGAAGAATTAATATAACAAATGATAAATGTCAATGATACAATAAAAGTTGCTTGAAATGCAATTCTTACCATACTTTTGTTATCAGACAGTACTAAAGCTAAACTGCTTGCTAATTTTTAAGAAGCTAAGGATAAATGCTTATAGCTTCTGCTGGAGAATTAAACTTATAGTTTTCTCTAACAGTAATTTGCCTTCTTCCATCAAAATAAAGATATGCGGAAGCAACCATTAAGCTCTTCTCATTTCTAAGAGCGATAAAAGTTTCAATTTGATAATTTGCGTGCTGCATGAATGTGCTGGAAACTCTCAGTTATATGAGGATACTCATTTGATCCCAATACAGTGGATCCCCAAGCTCTTAAGCATACTGATATCTCTCTCTTATCTGAGGCTGCTGATACTCTCCCGGGATGCAGGCCTGTGCTCACTCGTCATTCTGGGGAGACAGGACTTGCCCAGGACACTGCCTCAAGACTGCTGGACTGGTTTAACACTCTCTTTTATAACCACGTGGGTCACACAGTGCTGGAGCATTACACCTGACACTTTTGGCTTTTAAACCTGTTACCACTAAGGAAGCCAGTGGGAAGTGTGTATAGAGATGGAAAATAATACATTTCCACACATATTTATCCCTCCATTCTGCCAAAGGCTTCAAGTCAGTGAGGCCTTTTAACATATCAAAGGCCTTCTTAGGCCTGTGACTTGTCTTCTGAGTCCATCCTTCTCTCCTAAGTTACCACAGAGCTACAGGACAGTCTAAGTTGGCAGGGACCTCTGGAGCTTATCTAGTCCAACCCTTCTGCTGAAAGCAGGTTAGAAATGAGGTTGTCTGGTGGCCTGTCAAGGGCTATCAAATATTTTCTGTGAGCAAGGCACCACCACTGAGAGAATGAAAGCAGGATTTGTGCCGTGAATTTTAGCACACTTCCAAAACCCTGAACCTTTTGCCCTGAAGGGCTGGCATTTTCAGAGAAACCTTGAAGAGCAACACATTCCTGTGGGCCTCAAATGCTATGTGTGGAACAGGGAACCAGGAGCACTTCTGCATTCCCAGACCCAAGAGTGGATGGTGACTACAGCATGAGTCCAGATCTAAGTTCCAGGCAGGCATCTCTTACTTGCCAATTGTCATGAACTTAAACTTGCACACTCAAGCTATGGGAGGCCTCTGAATGTCACATGAGAATGTCACCGTGTCCCAATAGGTGTTACAGACCCAGTAAACAGAACTGTCACATAGCCCCCTTCTTTTAAAAAATTTCCCTTTATTCTTCACAATCTACTAATCCTTGAAATTAAAACACAGGTACATTCCCTGCACAGGTGCATTTATGTATCCTCACTCATACAGTTTTCAGAATATTAAACAAAAACTTTCAACATATTAAATAGTAAAAAAATTAATAGCTTTTTCCCTCTGTTTTGAGGATGGTCCTTACTCCTCCAATTAGAAGAATATTGCCATGTTCAAAACGCCAGTTATTCAGCCAACAATAAGACAGTCTCCAATTTTGCCATCCTTATGCAGCAAGTGATATTTTCAGTTGTGACATTCCCACTGATTTCATGAGACATGGTAATAAACCTGAGTGAAAAGCATAGTTAAGGGAAGCTATTTTCTAGATCTGGTATTTAGCTGAAAGCCAAAGTGAAATCCCAGCTGTATCAATGCATACATGAATGTTCCCATCTGGGGAGGAACGCCAGAGTGACTGGGAGAGATTCAAATCCTGGAGAGACTTATACGGAGCCTAAAGATGACAAATATTCACAGACTTTCCTGTTATTTCCCCATTTTATACCATGTTTAATGTACCCCCACATATATTTCTATGTTAATCCCCTTGGTTTGTACTATTCAGGGCATGTCTGTACTTGCCATCACGTTTTCCCGCCAAAAGTTGTTTACCACCCTGTCCTCCCCTGGTTTCCTGCTCATCCCACTGGGATTGGCTGATAAGTGCCACAGTGCGGAGTGAGCCCCCATTGGCCCTGGTTACCGAACGCCTCCCAGGTTCCTCCCTCCTTTTCCCTGTTCCCCAATCCTGTTTCATCCTGAGATGTCAATCCCATGCTCTGCCCTAGTTATCGGACCTCCCCTTACCCAAACCCTACATAAGTCCTTGTTCTTCTTCAATAAAGTGGCCATTGCACCCTGACCTTCTACCGTGTCAGAACCCTCTGTGCAGTGTCGCATCCCTATTCCCTTCCCCTTTGGGCCATGGCACCCATCTGTGACCAGGTTCAACATGAAAAATATTAAGCATTTTTTACATTTATGAAATGATTCATTAAGAATTCATAAGCAACATCTGTGTACTCTAAGGTATCTTTACCTGAAAATTGATTTAGAAACCATTAATCTCGTCAGTCAAAATACTTTGAGTCATTCTGGTCTTCCCTTCATTAGACTTTGGAATATTTCTGACCAAACCAATAGTGAAATAACACTGTTGAAACTCAAATTTCACCATCAGCTTGAGACACCTGAAACAGCAGTTTCATTTACTAAAATTGCCACAAAATAGACACTATTATTGTGCTCTCACTAGCCAAAAATATTTACAGTAATGCCATGAAAAGTTGAGAGTTCAGACGAGTATCTTCAGAAGCTTAACTGCTACTGAATGCCTTCAGATTAAGCTTCATAAAGTGGAGAAAAAAGGCAATTTAACAGTTGGCTTCCCAGTGCTTTTAACTACAGATCTATGTACTTGCAGGAAAAAAATATTTAAATTACAATTAAAATAAATTTTAGGTTCTGAAAACATGAATAATCCAAATCAAATGATTTTCATTTTTCACTAAGTGGTTCATTAACAGGAGATACTCATAGAATTTCACTAGGCTTACTGCTGGTATACATACAGATGGATCTATGCCACTCTAGTTTTTAGCAGATAATAAATACCTATTTTGACAATTTACAACAGAATCTGGAGTATTTATAGACAAAGTAGCCAGTATTTCATCTCATGATGAACAGAGACATTCTCTCTTTCAAAGGAAGTCTTGCATAAGCCATGATCTAAGAACTCAGACATGGTCAGCATAAAAAATGTTTAGTACCCTTGAGAATCCTCGGTCCCTTCCTACCCTCTTCTTACTCCTCAGAATCTTGAATTTTCTGAAGATTAATGTCAGCTAAGCCAGTCTCACTTTCCAGTGGACTTTCAGGGTGCAGGGCGAGTGCCTCCATCTCTTTGGTAATTTCAGATTCTTCTGTTCGGTCAGTAGGATTATTTGGATCAACTTCTTTTGTAGGATCTGGACCAGGATCTGACTGTTGTTCACTTGTAGAACTACTCTCTACTAGTTGCATTTCATCTAAGCAAAAGAGAAATCACACAATTAATAAACACTGAACTCATTTGCAAGCAAACATTTTTATTACTGAAGAACAATAAACACTAGGAAACTTTGCATCAATTACAAATTTAACCAAATTTAACCAAACTTCATGGAAAACAGACCCAAAACACTAAAGTTCTGCTTAAGTTTGTATAAGGTTACCCTAAGTAACTCTACCTAAAGCTCTCATTAATTTCTCTTCAATTTTGTCACACTTCTTTTTAATATACAGAAGAGCAGAGTAGGACATTACATTTATTTTGACTTCCAATTCAAACGTACTTTATTGACACTATTCTTACTGTTAGCTTTTCAAAGAATGGCTGCAGGCTGGTTAAACACAGAGTGCAGGTGGGTTTGGTTTTTAAATAAAAAAGGCATGTATGTGACTACTAGGAAGCATTTTTGCATATAACAGACTGAAGAAATGATCTGTTAATAAACCGTTGACCACAATGAACTTTAGTTGAAGTGAGTCATCCTAGAATTTAGAATTTGCATGGGATGGAATCAGCTATTGCACCTTTACTTTTCAAGCAATGTTTTTGGAGAAAAACAATTGTTAAATAACTTTTTGCCCCAATTCTGCTAAGTAGGGCTTGTGTGCTAGCAATTCTGAAAAGTACAAGGGGAAAGCCTAATTGGGACTGGGAGTAGTTAAATCTTGGTTTCTTGTTCTTTGTTATGATTGATAGTCAGCCAAAAATTCTGTCACAGCTAGCCACAATCCTGCCACAAGACCATGGCAAAGCCCTGCCAAGGCCTTACATGGCTGTGGAACTAACGGCCTTAAGCACAGGCTGAAGCGTGGACTTCCTTAACACTCACCCTTGCACAGTGGAAACTCTTAAACTCTTGGGTTTGCTTATAGTTGCAGCTGTGGCATTTATTTTTTTTTTAATTCTTAGTTTCTTCATGTACAGTATTTGTAGGGGGTATTGCTACCTTTCTGAAATAAAACTGTTGTTGATATGAAGTGCTCTGAGACACCACCATTTATGAGGTGACCTGAAGCTCAAATGAATTCAGTTGTTTGCTCATAACGCATTATCTGATAAGGTCTACAGTGTGCTGGCCATGCACCTGAAAAAGTTAATGAAGATTACCATGTAGATAGTGCAGTAGCAACATATCAGAAAATGTTACCTTCCATTTATTGGAAGGGAGGGAGAAAAGCCACCCACCAAGATCCTGTCTTTCCCTCTGAAGGGGACAGCACCTGGCCACCAACTCCTTCAGTAAATATGAACCTGCACGTGTGTGTTTGTCACCAGTGTGAGGCATCACTGCTCACAGCTCATTATGTTTTGCTGTACTGGTATGCAATATAATCAGGGATTTCGAGTATCCTTGCCTCCAGCTTCTACAGTCATCCTGATCCCATGCAACAGCAGCTCTTGTTATAACAGGATCATCACAGGAAGCTGTTGAAAACTGCAATTATTACTAATTTATTAGTAATTGATATCCTACTACAGTTTTTTGAGTACAGCTGAAATAAATACTACATTGTAAGACAAATGTGATTTGTCCAGGGCACTTCTACAATCCCTAAAAAAAGGAAAGGAAAATCCAATAAGTTGTAAAAGAGAAGAACTGATTTTTCCTATTATTTCACTTAGAGAAACATTGCATCAGAGTTAAGGGAGGTGGCAATACAATGTTTTTCCTGTTATTAATTATTTGCTTCTTGAAGGGAAAAAACCACCATGAACAGTTTAAAGACTAATGCTTGCTTACTTCACATTCCAAGTACACAACACAACTCGATACTGTGATTATGAAGAGCAAGTATTATGGGAGAATTAACATTACATTAACCTTTAAAATGGGAAGGAGCAGGCTGCTTGCTTATTATCCAACTTGTCCTAACACCTCCAACAACATATAGAGCAGCATGAAACTTCTGCATGAGCTTGACTAAACACCTGGATTTTGAAACAGTGCAGTGTAATTCAGAATGCTTTAGTTGCAGAATCCTGTGTAACTGTAGCATTAAAAAATAGGTTTAGAATGTACACAGTATATTTCTAAATTGAAGACTTGAATCCCAAAAAATGCAGGCTTGCCGTTATGTTACATCAAAGATTTTTCTTCCAAACTCAGTTGTTACACTTTTAAGACCTGTTCAACTGCTCTTTGTCATGCAAATTAAGGCACAATTAGTTTCCGCAAGCAAACTACAGATTCTAACCTTTCTTTTGCTTCTTTTCCTGTTTCCTTTTCTCTTTGGCAGCTTCTAGTTCTTGTTTCTCATGAATTTCCTTCAGGGTCTTGCAGACCTTTTTGTGCGTAAACCAGTGTATTTTCTGGCAGTTCTGGTCACAGTACATCACCTGAAAGTTACCAGAGTTATCAATTAATTTTCATGTACTAAGAAAATATACAATATTCTTGCATTTCTTAGTGCACCAAGTTAAATCTCTCTATGTATAGCACTTATGGGTATTTTTAAGCAAATTGTAAGGTCACATGGAGTGATTCTAACCTATTTAAGAATCTATAAAGAACAGTTTGTTTTATTAACTCTAAACATACAGAAATTTTACTCTTTCTTCATTCTTAAGCATACACACTTGGAAATCCAAGTACTCCTCGTGAATTTCAAGTATCTTTCCCAGGAGTAGATGGCTTGAACATTTTCAGTGCAGACACATATGCCATTCCTCCTAAGTCTACACAGTAAATAGGGAACCATTCAAAATTCTTAGCACATCAATGGCACTATTTTTTTGATTCTTACCATTTTACATACTGAACATCTTTTGTCTGCTCCCTTTCCCCCACAAGTTGTACAGAATTCAGCATCCACAAAACCCACTTGGCCAGTTATCGCTTGTGTAAGTACAGAAAAAGCTGTAGGGTCAGAACCCTGAAAGACAAGAGGTGGTAAAGAGATTAAAAATGAGCACTGTTGCAAAGAGGGACACGCACGGCAAAAGCAAAATGATTGCACAAGCTTCTGTCTCACTGAAGCTGCTGCAGCAGTAAGAACATAAAACTCCATCACAGAACTTCAACTAACATGCACAACTTAACGTTTGTATCATTAGATAAACTTCTGTATATGAAGTTAACTTAAGCCCTCAGCTTCTGTAGAATTTACTCTGTAACTTATAAATGATACTATTAATGAACTCAGTGTTCTTTACACACTGTCACTCATTTGTAGATCCTATGAAGCAGATTTTTGCAGATCAGTCTGTGCTGGCACATACAAAGATGTTTCACTTGTCACTGATACACTGTTGTGCTCAGTGCACTCAGATGCTACAGATCAAATGGTCAGAACTTGAAATGTTCAAAACAATTATTTGCATATTACTGTTTAGATGTTATTTGCAATTCTTCACATGCAATGCAAGCAGTAAGATTTAGTATATTTTATTGGTAACCATAAATTAAGACTATTCTTTTGGACAATAATGTAAACATTAGAGAAAAAAAAAGCCAAGTTTCTCCAGCTCTAAGTAAATCCTTAAACCGTTAGACTACCATGGAATATGCACAATCATAACTCCTGAGACACCCAGACTGAGTCCAATGTGCACTGATAAAGGTCAAAGGCTTCCCCACAAATAAAAATTATAGCGTCTCCTCCTTTCCAGTTTTACATAATGGACAGAAATCCAATGGAATAAATGATCATTTTTTTAAAGGCAGAAAAGACTGCAAGCTCTCCTAAGAAAAAAGGGATAGGAAGGAAAATGTTTACTCTAAAGCAAGTCGTAATGCATCACGATGGCTTATGTTTTCACACTGTGTTCCTGGCTTAGACAAACAGTAGAGATTGCACTAAACCTCAGGACCTTTTAGCAGACCTGAAGCCACTTAAGATGGAGGCTATTTTTAATTCACTCAGCATAATCCAAACATGTCGCAAAATTGTTCCACTTCCCCAGCATTTGTGGATACAACATCTCGCTCTCAGAGACCAGAAACATGCTTGAAGAAAAGAACAGTAACTCTTGAAAAATTTATTACAAAGTAATAAATAGTACTATAATGAAGTGTGTTAGCAAGGGCATATGAGGAAAGCTGAAGTTAAGATTTTTTTACTTGTAATTTTGATTTCCTAATTTAGATATACATGTTGCTGTACATTGCATCATCCTGCCTCTCTCTGTGATAAAAGGAGACTCACAGAATGGTTTTTTCTTTTTCTACCATCATGTATTACCAACTTTTCGTGTACAATGGAACTAATGAATGCATTAAATCTAGGAAACTATTCAATCTTAAACTGAATTGAGACAATGTGAAAAAGATTGCAAGATAAGCTTCATTTATGTCTGAATCTACAATTCCTAAAAGCAAACTGGCAGAGAAAAACTGAACAGATGTCCCAGGAAAGGAAAAAAAAAGCTCTGAGACAAGAAACAAATTGCTTCAGTTTTCTTTAAAAGCTGAGGTGTTTAAGTATTCATTATGGGCACATACCAGTTGAAGTATTTTAGAGCATTTTCCTGCAATATGTAAATCAAACTCCAGTTACCAACAAAGTTCAGGGACATCAAAAACCTGTGCTTAACATAACACATTGCAGAAGCTGAGAACAGAAAGATGGCTCAAACTGAATTTACTATGCAAGTTGCTTAGAAAGCATTTTCTTGATAGGAAAAACTTACTATTTCAACAGGAGCAATACTTCTCACAAGCTGCTGGAGCAATGTAGCTTCACAGTAAGGAAACTTTCGGATACTTTCTCGAATTAGCTTCTCTTGATACACAGGGAAACCATCTTTATCTCTCCCTTTTAAGAGACTAAATTTTTAAAAACCCAAGTAAAACAAGAAATCACATAGTAAATATTCAAGAAAAAACACACAGCATGCTGTACTCTGCCCTCTTTCAAATTATACAGAAGAACTATAATTCAAAATTAATTGGCACCTTCATACATAGAGGCGTTCAATGCAAATGAAATTATTTTTATTCTAATGCACAGTCATTATGAAATACACAATTAATAAATGTATGCTCTGCAACCACAACTTAGTAATTCAACCACACAGAGAAAAATAGTCATCTACAAGTAGACTAGGATCTACAACTACTAAAATATCAAAATGCTTTGTGGTGTTTAAAAATAAGCATCGTAAGAATAAACACTGACAAATACACTACTTTAAAATGCAAAGTCTGCCTTACTTATGTTTAATAACATGTTATAGTCCTAAACACCTCTGTATTTATCTGGTTTGCTCCTACTTTTTTATATGGATCACTAATAAACTATTTGATTTCACTACATGAAAGCTGACTTCTTAATTTATATTCAGTATCACACAGGATTTCAGTAAAAATCCACAGAAGTCTATGGGGAATGTGATCCTTCTAAAAGCTGGGTCACTTACTTTGATATTTAAGATCAGGCAGCTAGTTTTGTAACTGAGTAGATTCTGAAGATCTGTCTAAGTGATTTAAGAGTCCAAGTCTCTGGATCGAGTCTGTGGGATTTGCAGTTCTCCACTGCTTAAGTGTTTTTGAAAAAAATCTCACCCTGTATGACTGCTGGAGAGCAAGATGGCACAAGAAATGTTTCCAGATGATCCATATCAGACATTGAGAAATTCTATTTTCAAGCCTATCACTCCCCTTTTTCTCCATCACATGTTGCTGCCTGCTGCTTCATAGTGTGTATGGGAATGCCAAGCTCTAACCAGTTCCAGCAGAGAGCTGAAACTCTAGGAATGTTTCCTTTCTACCCACAAAAGGACAGTGTCACTTCAGACAGAAAAAAGGGAGTCAGTGCCACCCTGAAGTAAATGAAGCTGGGATTATTTCAAAATTTATTTGGCATAGCCTTTATCCAAGAGAATCCAATCTATTATTGCAGCTGTCTTTTTTCTGGTGTCGGTAAAGCTGGTGTGCATATGTGCCTCCAGACCTCTCTGTAGAAATACACACCTTTTAATAAATCCATCTAGTTTATCCTCTCGCTCTTTTAAAAATGTAATACATTTCTGGAAGATGCAACTGATGTAGTGCATTTTCATAGCAAGTACTTCATTCATATCTTTCTGCTTCATACATTTCTCACAAATGAGATCCAGAACCCTGTAACATTTCTGCAGTGCTTCTACTTCGGCCAACAGAGGGTTCTCTTTTACCAGCAACACAATCTAGGAGAGAGATTGAAGAAAATGTAATCCGGTTAGGAATGAATATTTTTAAACTTGTGCATTAGCATTAAAGCTTATACAGCTCACTGTAGCTAAATTTCAGTGGAGTTTCTAATATCCCTCTACTTCCTTCTTAGGCAGGCTTCCCTTTCTTTTTTCAGTCATTGTTTAGTATTATTATTCAGCATACTGTAATTCACAGGAGGAAACGAGAGGAAACTGTATGCTCCACTCACTAAATGAGATGCCTATCTGTATGTACCACGGACACCTGGTTGAAAACTATTGACAAATTCCAGACTTTGAATGGCAAGCCCTAGGAACTTTGTATTTGAATTTAGGTGTATTCATTTCTCTAAACTACACTGGAGGAGTAAACCAAAAAACATTATTTTCAGCAAATGCCCTGCAAAGTAAAAATAAATGTTCTCTTGCACATACTTTCAGAAACAGCAGCAGTGGTAAGATGTTACTATGGCAAACCAGTGATGAAGGTAGGAAAATACATGCTGAGAAAAGCATTGCGAGAACAATGAGATTTTGCTAAGACAGGATATTGTTCTATATTTTCACTTCAAGTGGGGCTAGGAAAAAAAGCCAAAAAAGAAAGCTATTTATGGTTATTGATGTAAGAAACTCTCCACTTAAAGGTGTTAATTCAAGATTCTCATGTATACAAACACTGAAATAGCCTAATTTTTTAATCACATCTAAACGTTGAACCTGATTCTTCCTCATTTTCAGAAGCATGTGAATTACTGGATAATGCTTTTGATCTCAGATGGACTATCAGAATAGCTGAATGCTTCCTAACACAAAGAAACAGCTCCCATGCCAACAAACGCATACAATTTACATATTACTCCACCTTAACAGGATGCATGTTGGTAGTAGTAATAATTTTATGCAGAGGGCCAGCTAATTTTACTGGCAGTTTTGGTTCTTTATCTAAGCCTTGTGGTTTAGTATAGTAGTCCAGCCTTTCACGTGGAAAGAAGTTGTTGATGACGGTCACACAGTCATGTTGACCTAAAGGCACACAAGAAAAAAAATCACCAGTGAAATAATAACCAAAAAAATACTTAAATCCAAATCTGATAGAAGCAATATAAGTGAGAATTACCCACAAAGGAGCTTTGCATGATATACTTTGCACTGAAAACAGGCAACTCTTGTCATGACTTTGTGTGTAGATTTAATGTTCAGTAAGTCTAACCTACTGACTCCCAGCAGGGAGTGCCCTCATGAAAATTCATTTTGAAAACTCTATCTCCTTCCTGCATCCTCTTTACCTGGTAAGCCAAAAATTAAGAGAACAGGTATTTCTCCCCCAAGTTATACTATACCAGTAGTCTCATACTGGTGTTAAAATTTTTCAAGAGAAGTTCTTCCACTTTGTACTTTTAAAAATTAATGACATTTCCATTGAGACTTGTAAGTTTTCAGACCTGAAACAGATAGTAGTGTATTAATCTAAAGTGGGAGAAGTTATAAGAACAAAACATGCTTAAAATTTACCAAAACTAAAAGGACTGTGACAAAAGTAACAAGATGAGAAAGGTTACACCCTCTTGTTTTCTACTTCTGACAATATGATGGATTACTTGGCTACAGGGAAAGTAAAACTTATCTTAGTTCAGGACTGCATTCTTTAAATTGACTGATTTGTCTTGGCACTAATCCTATAATCAGTACAAGACACAGCCAACCAAATTCCAGCATTTAAATCCTCCACTGTTTTAGAAGAGACAGTTCTGAGCTAATAGAGCACAGTGTAAGACAAATGGCAGGGGAAGAAGTACCCTCACTTCTCACACACAGACAGATGAATTAGTGTTGATTGGGCAGAGAATAAAAACCCTGAAAATATTTATTCTACCTTGGTGACATGATGAGATTTTAAACAAGAACTCTCCAAAATTATGTTGGAGATAATATTCCCCACTCACTAATAACTCTATACAGCATCACATTGGAAAAGACTCTCCAAATCCGAAGTAAAATTAATAGAAGTAAACTTCTCTGACACATTAAGTGAATAGTTAAGGTTTTGTTGCTCAAACCTCAAGTGAGCAACCCCACCCTTTTCCTTTTTTAAAAGAACAGAATTAGATAAGATGGAAATTGAAATTTAGCACTAAATCACTACTCAAGGAAGTAAATCTAAATAGCAAGATAGGCTTTTGAATCCAGAACAGCTAATGGACTAGCAAGGTTCTAAAGCATTTAAACACCATGAGAAGGTTGTGTTTGAAAGAGAATATAGGTCCTCGTTTTTGGGAAGGTCACCTGGACAGCAATAGCTGTATCACTAAAATGACTCCACTTTGCCTAGTAATATTTTATCAATTTTCCTTGCTAGAAGTAGAAAAAGAGTGGAACATTAATCCAGGAATCTCCTAGTACTGTCAAGGCGGGTAAAAAAAGTAAAAAGGATTTATAAAAACAAGAAAAAAAAGACAAGAAAAAGAAACATAACAACAGAAAAAAAAGCCTGTTGCATCTTTTGTTGGGGATAACACTGTATATTGGAATGGGAAATCTTTTATCTTGTTCTAGTGAAGTTCAGGTCAATAAGCAGTGACTACCTCAGAACAGGTTCCAAGACCTCTCCCAGATGCCAAGGGAGAAGGGCAGGTAGTGGCTTCCTGCCAGCACACAGCATGCTAGTGGCAAAGCTCAGATGAGAGTTCCTAAGGTCATTCTTTCCCACAAAGTAAGGTCCAATTAGGCACTTTGTATAGCACTTCAGACACCTCCAATGTTACCAGCTTCCTCTTACTATTTCCAAAGTGGCAACACTGCAAAAACTTATACACTCAAACAGCAGCATCTGTTCTCACAGGTAAGATCATCTGTGTTTTTATGAAACCAAGCATGGGAATAGAACACAAATTGACTCTTACAGGATGAGATGTGGAAAAAAAGGTCAACAACTGTGTCAGTTCAGAACAGGTCATTAAATAATGTTTCTTCAACAAAAAGCATCAGAATCTAACATTTTACTTCTTTAGGAATTTAGGAAATGATAACAGATTTTCACCTTACCCACAAAAGCAGCCATCTGAGCTGCTGTCCTTCCCACAGAGTTGACAACATCAGTTTCTGCTCCAGCCTCTAACATCATCCAGGTGATTTCTTTATTTCCTGAATTTGCAGGGTAGATATGGGGAATGAGTGACAACAAATCAGAACTTGTAATTCTTTATGCTTTAGAAAAACATGGACTGAGTTTCTTAAAGACCAGCATAACAGTGAGGGAAATGAATGTTCTTAATGTCGTTATTTTAAGACTGGATTAAGAGAAAGGCACGGTGCTTATTTATGGTTGCAGAGGGTATACCTCTGCCCTCTGTAATGCACATTCACCTCCCCATGCAGCTTATGGAACTCATATGCAGGTAGCTACACTAGAGCTTGGTCCCTCTGGACAGCAGTATAGAAGCAAATTCTGCTAATCTAGTTTGACAGTTCAACTACATTTGCTATTCTAAGAAGAAAAACAAATTCAGGATTATGATGTAGCAGAAGCACAGAGAAGAGAACAGATTGTTCCTTTCTCCACAGTGGGAACTGGATGTTCAGACTGGGCTAAATACCAAGTAAAATGAAGCTAAAATTTGATGGGAAGATTGGATGACTTAATTGGTGCCCTTCAGAGGCTAATAAGGACACTTGCCACCACTCCTGTTGGTTCTGCTTTCAAAGGTATTCTTACTGTATCAGTTTTAATGCAGATGTTAAGTACAGAAAAGTGAATATAAAAAGGGGGTGGTGGATAAAAATGAACGTTTCTGGTTTAAAAACAAAGTCATTGCGTCAGTAGTGCTCATGTACCTTGTGTACTCACAGACAACAGACCTTAAAGTCAACATACAGAAGTGTTCACACCCAGAATGACAGGTTAAAAGCTTAGCTGTGAGAAAATGGTTAAAAGTCCAGCATCTTCCATAAAGCCGCAGTCATCTAACAACCTCCAACCTCATCTGTCTTCTGCAGCTCTGATATTGCTCAATGCCACAGAACACTGAAATTTCCCAAATCTTTTTACCAAAGTTTCAGCAGAAAAGCAATCTGATGATCCACTTAGGGTTCAGATAAACACATAAGCCTTTCTTTCTTTTATACTTAAGATAGAAGAAAGCAGTTTAAACTCTACCTTCTAAGAAATCTTACTTCCTTAGAATCCCCTTTTTGGGAAGAGATAAGTGGCCTAGTAAAGAAGATACTTAAAATAACCTAATATTCCCAAATCTAATCTTTTCCCCAGAAGGAACAATGTTTTAATGTACTGTCTTTTTCTCACTCAAGGAAATAAGTGTTCATCAGGGAAAAGGGAGGAAAGCTGCAAACCACCACTTGAGACAGGAGAAGATATGTACAGCTATAAGCACTCTCATGAGAAGAAAAAATAATGCAAGAGGAGAGGGAAAACTAATGTGGGAAAAAATGTTATTGAAACTTACTAAATACATTTTTAAAAGCCCACAAGATAATTGCAAAAATAAGGTAGGAGAAAGACAAAATTTGAAAAATACTGGATTGATTTGAGAAGTCTCAAATATTACTGAAAGCTATGGATTTGTAGTGCTAATAAGGCAGTCTGGTGCAGCAGCTTTTCAATGTAACACAGTGTAAGTAAACCAAATTTATCCCACTGCACAAGAAGACTGTCACAGAAAACTGAATTTTGAGATCTATATAAACAGGACAAAGTAAAGATAGACTGAATGCCTCAAAATGCAGAAAAGCATCAACTTTTATATGAGTCTGAACAGTAGCTCTCCTGTTCCACAGTCCTCATGATTCTACTGGTCCTGACATATTGCCATGGTTCACATAAGTAACAGTAAACCTGAATAATAAAAGCATATCAATATTTCCCTTTAGATTATTAATTTATGGCAAACTGTACCCATCGATGTCATAAAAATCAGTGACCCAAGTTTAGTAAGAAGTTACCTGAAAGTCCAGCGAACATCAGGGCAGTGTATCCATGCTCATGTTCATTGCAGTTCACATCAGCTCCGTGTCGCAAGAGCAACCTGCACATGTCCACCTTCCCCTTGTAGGCTGCGTGCATCAGAGGGGTCATGCCATGCTGGCAAAGCAAAGTGGAAGCAAGTAACACATAAAGAAGAATGTTACATCTCTTGATCTTCATACCATTGATAATTTTTACTTGTACAGGCATGTTCAGTATAACTAATAAAGCCTCACATAATATTTAAGTCACAAAAACACTCAAAAAATCTTCATAAAAATATATGGTTAGCAGATTTTCCACTTCCAAGTCACTTTCCTGATTATGCTGTGCTATAGATTTGAAAACAGATCAGTGCTGAATAAATGAAAACCATTTACTGCCAATTTCTCATTGACCTTTTGTCTAAGACATTAGTGTTAAAGACAACTAATGCTTCTGCTAGCAGAAAAAGCTTGTTTTAGAAAATGTGTTAGGTTCAGACATGATTTCTTTCTTCCTCTGCTGCTGCTTATATGATAAGCAAGAAGAAAATTAGGAATAGGCTGTTGTTGTTTTAAACATTACAAAGATCTGCAGTTTCTGAAACCCATCTTGCTCATCTTTAGTCAGGATTACTGGTAATAGTGCTATCCTCCTCTCTCCCACTTCTCCACCCTTTTGGTATTGTGTGCACAATCAGCCAGAGCTCTGAAAGCCCTTGTGCAGATACACAGCTCTCACTAGACTTTTACAACCACAGCCTCAAACCTTGCTGTTGATCAACTGCCCTGGTACAAAAACAGACTTACTTCAGCAGGGCAGGCACTGAGGTTTTATTGGAGTTGTGCTGGTGTAATTATAAATGTAAACCTGGGCAAACCTCCAGGGAAATTTTCAGAACTAGGGTGAACTGTGAGTGCAGGCTCTCTCCCTCTCCAAGGGCAGGGAGAAGCACATTCCTGTTTGAGAAAATTGCATGACATTCCATTTTTAGAATTTAATACACTTTTTCCAATATGCTGTTTATTTTCACATAACATTGAGTCAGGATTCATGTTATCAGCCAAGACACACTAATTGCCCAAGAACACTCCAAAACTGAATATATGGGAGTGTGCTTTAGTTTGTTCCTGAAGGAAATCAGAACGGTATTTTGTTCCTTTTTTGCCAGTCAAGGCTGTGTACATGAATGCATACATGTACACCATTACTGCAGCTCTGTAAATGCGTGGTAATGTGATACTTACTCTGAAATAATGTAATTGTCAGTTTGAGCCTTAATATATTCCTTGTTTCAATTTACGATAGCATAAAACTCAACTGAGTTTACTTTATCAGTATCATTTTCAAAAAATTTCTAAAGGTGATAGAAATTGGGAAAGTTATAACAATTTTGAAGTATTATATTTTCATTATTCTCCATCCTAACTGAAAACAGTAAAAAGTGATTACTTGATGTTTCATATTCTAGCAACCCAAATATTTTGATAAACTGCAACATAAACTGCCACTAAAGAAACCAAAGACCTGAAGAGATCGCTTCACGAACATGAAAAAAATTGGTTTTGCTAGGTTTCACTTGGGATGCCACAAATGTTCAGTAAAGACTTTTTGTCCCAATATATAAAATATATTACATTCATTATGTTACGTCAACAGCAATTTTTAGGGGCCAATCCCATAAAAATGGGAGTCACAGCACAGATTCGCCTCCTTTAGCAGCACAGAAAGGCACTGCTGTAAGGGGATACGAGCACAATATGGTTTTCAATGGGAGAAGGAATGTTTAGAAAACAATTACTTAAGTTTGGTTATATCTCGAATGCCAGTTGTTTCAATTAAGATCTGAAGATTATAGGACAAAGGAAGGAATTGGGTTTGTTTTTGATCATCCCCTCCTCCCAGAAAACTTTTTTTATAATCCTTTGATTCAATTTTGAAAGTGTCAGGCTGTGGTGTGGATCAAAAAAAACATATCAAGTAGAAAATATGTGGACAGTTAATAGAAAATTGGATTTAAAGTCACATTAATATCAGCTTTGCACATTCACAGCAAACAAAATAAGGTCAGGCTAGACACATGCTTATCTGAAAAAGCTCAGTGTCCTGTATTATATCCCTACACAGAAACTGAAATGACTGCAAATATTTTTCTCATCCTGAATGTCAAAGACAGGTCCAGCAACAATATGTTTTCTCACAGATGACATTGAGATTGTCAATACAACATACTTACAAGACAAAACCAGCAGATGGTTTATTAAGCATAGAAATGAAACTAATTATTTATTGTTCCCCTATGGAACATGAGATGAAACTACTATGTAACATTTTTCTGACCAAAAATCTGGCCTTTTAACCTCATTTCCTAGGACAAGAAGGAATCCTTCCCAGTTTCTAGTTTGTTTTGCAGGGATATTACATGGTAACGTCTCCAGTCTTCTGCAGGGCTTACGATTTGGAAGGCAGTCAACAGTCACACACACAAATAATTTTAGCTACAGCTAACTGTGAGCTAATTAGAATATGAAATATTCTGTTCAGTGTCGATAATAGCTTTAGTTATTCTCCTTTATAGTCATTTTGCTCAACTGTTGGCTTCACATCTGTAATGCATTTGATTCCTCTGATGATCTTTCAGTTCACCTCAAAGTGATGAAAAGCTAAAATCTACATCAGTCACCAACGTGAACTGAAACCAGATAATTCTTAATAGCTGTTGAATTTTCTTTGGTTTGCATATTTTGAAGTAGTATGTAAAAACCACCAAAAGACAAAACTCTCCTCAACAAAGGCCCAGGATCTGGGCATTTTCTGCCAGCATAGGATGTTCATGCTGGAATAGCAAGATAGATTAACTGAAGAACCCTCTGCTGAACATAATCAGTACAAGTAAAGCTACACACATCTCAGGCACTAATAAGCAGGCTGCTGCTGTAATTCCCGGGAAGTGTTCGGTTCTGTAATTAGCATATAGAAGGGGACTATTTCTAAAAGATGTATTACAGAACTGAACAGCCGAATTACCAAACTAGAGGCAAAAAGTAAAGCTGCTAATGCCAGATGATAGTTCCGTATATAAGAAGATTATGAATGACCTTATAACTATTTTAAAACAGAAAAATTGTGAAGCCTTTTCAGGTCAAGTCTCTCTGCTTGATCTGCAGAAAATAGGGCACTGTAGTACTACAGTGCTCCTTTGCAGCCTTGACTACCAACATGACCAGAGGAATTTCATGGCTAGAAAGCCCATGTGCTTCCTCTAGCCTGCCCTTCTGCATGTAATAATCTGAAATATCTTGGCCACACACTGCAAATGGATGGAGTTAAGCGCCAACGTGAAATCACAACACTATTTACAAGCTCTGCCCTCTCAGGGGAAACAAAAGTTCTGAACACTTTCTTCCACACTAAGTTTCCAAATTAGCAACTACTCCATGTAAAAGAGGACAATAAAATGACTAAGTGGTGTGCATTTAAATTAAATATATTGGTATTTATTTTGCATTCATTTCTATAGGCCTAATGTTTTAGGACACCTGAGCTTAAATGTCCCTGAAGTTTTAAAGCTGCCAAGCTGTTAACGACTAGTTTTGTGAAACAGCTACTCTATTTCTTTGCTTTCATAAAGACAGTGATTAAGCCTAAATACATTTCCCTTCTTCATCTACCTAAATCCAGAAAGAAACAACAACAGAAAAAATTATTTAGTCAGAAAGGGTGCTAAGAAAAAACAGGACTGTATCTGATGGATATCTCCAGCCTTCAGGAAGATGGGCATCTGTGAAACTCAATTGAATAAATGATCTTATTCTGCGTTCAAGTGACTTACTGCTGCCAGCAGAGCTCTGCAGATAGCAGGAGGTGAAGGGTGAATGAGTCTTGGCACAAGGAAAAGCAAGTAGACTTGGAGGAACTTTTTATTTTTAAATACACATACCAAGAGCGGAAGCAATGCTGAAATACTGCGTCCAGCTCATGTCTACATTTTTGAAGTAAGAAGCTGAAACAACTGGAAAGGATTTGGAAAAGAACCACAATTATAGCTCAATTGCTGCAGAAACATAACTTTAGGCAAGATACTGAAAAGGTCAATGCGTCTGGAAGATGTTAAAATGTGTCTTGGTACTTGTCTAAAGGTACATAGAGAAAAGACAGCTGATTGTCAGTAGTTTTTAATCTAGAAGAAAGCAGATCCAAGCAGTTAGAATATACAGTCAAACCAAAAATGAAAGGAACAGCTTATGTGTATTTTTTTTTAACAGTAGGAAGTGCAATATGTAACAGCCTGTTTCTGGATGTGCTGTGAATTCCTGAGCCTGTGGAAATTATTAAATTGTGATTGCATGCTTGCTGTACCACAACTAGAAGAGAGAATTACATTAAAGCTGTGCTCATTCTGTGGATTCTCTCACTTACAAAGGACTTTAAGGATGGAAATGAGTTTCCAACTGAATTGTGCTCCCATTTCAATACCTAAGCATTCCATGTTCAGGGCTGTGTAAATATAAATATAAATAATGTAAATGTAAATGTGTAAATGTAAATATAAATAATAACATGAATTTCAGGATAAACAACTAAGGCCACGGAGAACAAAAGTAAGACCTGATGCATTGAGAGGAGTCTCCAGTTGTGGTGATGTTGAATAACAGATGAAGGTAATGCTTAACTGGGATTTCACACACTTTGGTAGAGATATTTGAATAACACATTGGAGCAAAAATGGCTTATAATAGAAAAATTCTAAAAGTTGAGGTAAGATGACTGATGGATTTAAGAATCATAAACAAATCTGAACTCTTTCCTGTTCAACATGCATGATTACATACCACTCTTGGGAATAAAAATGAGATGGCAGGAAGTCCATTGCATAAACTTTCAAAGCGTTATGTGCCTTGTATTTAGTCAGATGTGAGCATTAGGCAAGTATTGTTAATACTATTTCTTCTTTAACAACAGCTCTGAGCATAACTCAGTTATGGTTTCTATTAATAAACCATATCCTCTTGACAGTAATCCTGTATGGTGCACTAATACTGCATCAAGGGTGCAGTCAGCAATTCACTACAGGAAAATCTTATCATAAAACACACTTGCAAACATATTGTATCTGGGGTTCCTGAAGTTCACAGTAAAGCTTAGTGTGACGAGTTTGTCAGAAGCTTATTGGAATTCATGTAGTGGTAATTAAGGTTTAAATATTTAACTGTTATTTAAGAGCATTCAGAAAATGGATCTGTTGGCAGCACAAAAAAGGCTAACAACATTCCATGAAGATATCTGGTAGATGAAGGGGCAATTTTCCTCCATTCAGAATTCATGGGACCACATTTACAATACCCTGTCCAATTCTGGGTCTACCAGTGCAACAAAGACATGTATAAACAGCAGTAAATTCAACAGAGTACCACCAACACATGGCAGGAACTCAAGCACTTGTGTGGTGCAGAGAGGCTGAAGGAGCTGGGTTTACTCAGCCTGGAGAAGAGATGGCTTTGGTGGAGCCCAAGAGCAGCCTGCCAGAGCCAGCAGGGAGGTCATTGAGAAGACAAACCCTTCTGTTATGGTGGCAGGAGGGCAAGAGACACTGAGCCTAAGCTGAAGTTCTCACATAAGGGAAACACATTTTCACCAGAAGTACAATAAGGCAGTGGAACAAATTGCCCAGAAATACTGTGCAGTCTCCATCCTTGGAGGTTTACAAGGCCAGACAGGACAAAGTTCAGAGCAACCTCATCTGACCTCGGAGCTGAAGCTGCTCTGAGCCAGAGGTTGAACTAGACACCTTCTGACCTCCCTTCTATAGCATGAATGTTCCAGTGATCCTATGAAATTATAAAATTGGGAAAAAAAAACACAAATTGACACTTAAATTAAGAAATTACACATGGATTAACCTGCATGCTGGGGAAATACAGTTTTGCTTGCATGTTACACTTCTTATTAGTGCTGCACACTTCAGAAAAACATTGTAAAAAGAAAAAGAGGAAACATGAACATCCCACAAGGCTCCTTTCTCCACGACCTTACTCTCATCATCAGGAAACACTTAAGTGTTTTATCTTCTACATGTCCATCACATCTGCCTCTGAAAAGACTGTGTTTTTCACTTTTGATCTAGCTATTCACCCTCCCGGTATGTTTATGGTTTAGCAAAGACGGGGTTTTGGGTGATGAGATCAAGTACAAGAAGGGGGCAGGTATTCTTTATCCCCACTGTCTGCTGCAGAGGAACTACAGTTTGGTGGAGGTGACAAGAAGCCAGGGAGCACTCCCATGTTCTTGCTGCAGTATTTATCTTACCTTACAGACACCAAAGTTCATGCTGGAAATTGAGAGAAAATACAAACAGTGTAGTAGTTTAAGTAACATTAATCTTTAAACTTTCTTAAAAAAAAAAACCAGTAAGAACTCCTCAAAGGGTTATTATTCAGCTGCAGTCTGGTAATATCTTCAGAACAACTCTGACTTCTACGAGTCTGTACAGCAATGATATTTAATAGGAAGGCCTTCAGACCTAGTATTTTCCTTGCTAAACTCAGCATAATGCTTGTAGTTTTGCTGTACCTCATCCAAGCAATTGACACGGACATTCTTGCTGCCCAGTAGTCTTCCAGCCTCATCGGTGTTTCCTTGAATTTAAAGACAGAGGTAGAAAGGGGAGTGAGAAACAGAATAAACTGAGAATCAAGAGGAAAATTATCATTTCCATTCCTCATTAGAATCAAAATCTTTGCAGATTAACCACGTGGGATGTGGATCAACCACCAGTAAATCAACTGCACTTAGTGAAGAGGCTTAGGAATAAACAGTTTTCTGTTCTGGAAGTTAAAAGGCAAGAAGTCACAACATTAAGTAGCAGTCAGAGAGCATGCACTAGAAGTAAACATCCATTTTTTGTGAAGTAACTGATCTACACACACACAAGAACAGGACACTAATACATCTCTTCATAAACAGCACCAGAATAATTCTGAATGAGTACAATGATGCTGAGCATTTTAACACACTTTGAACTTTGACTTCTTCTGGAGCATCTTATGCCTGAAAGACTTATCTAAGTTCTCACAAAAGGGAATTATCTCATTTATAAGACTTTCTGGTCCGAATGAAACATGCTTCATCATTTACTCACATCATCTTCTCTGTTTAAATTTGAAATTTGCAACATACCACTTCCCAGGTCCACAAAAGTGGAAGGAATTTGCTTTTGGTAATAGAGAATAGAGGTGGAAAGGACAAGGGCAAAAGTAGCTTGATCACTGACATTTCTAAAAATTGCCAAATACATAAATAGACTGAAGTCTGGAAAAAAACATGCAAGGAAAAACAGGTCATAATTTTGTATTTTCAATTTGCTACCAGAATCTTTTCGGTTAAGCCACAGATCTATGAACCTGATTTAAAGCCCACTGAAGGACAATTCACTTAATATCAATGCAGCTTCTACAAGCATTCAAACAAATAGAAATGAAAGAACATTCAAAGACTCTGAGTTTGGGGAGTTAAATCTATTGTAAATTACCAGAAACTTCTGATCACTGAATCAATCACAAGCACAACTCTTTCAGCAGTGATGTGCTTAATAAAAATAAGCATTGCACCCCTCATTTTAATGACAGGATTCATGCTTATCTTCACTATATCACAAGGAGGTGCTCTTCCAGCAAATTTTCAGCAAAGCAGCTCTTGCAACTTCAGTTTTGGCCAAAAACCCCATTACAAATACTACAAATAATTTTTTTCACCAAGCTTTTGGTGTGGTTTAACTATACTACAGGTTTCTTTCTTCCTTTATTGTTAATTTAGGGGAAAAAAATAATCACCTGAGTCATCTCACACACTTGATAAAGACCCAGTCAGGGAACTGTCAACCAGCCTACTCCCCCAGACATATATATTCTAAACATTGGGAAGCTTCTTAAGACCTGGAGAAATTTTCAGAAAAACATCCCAGCAAAAGAACCAACATCAGTAAGAGCAAGTCTTAAAGGGGTGATCTTCAAGTAAATTTCAATATAAGCAAAGCAAAGTTGCATTTACAAGTTCAGAGTTCTCAAACACTGAAGGATTTCCAAACATGACACTGAACTGCTGGAAGCCAGACTTCTAGAATTGTGTAGAGCTACGAGTTGGAGCCAGGCTGCTCATGGTGGTACATGGTAGGAGGCCAACAGACAACAGGCAGAAGTTGACAGAAAAGGAAGCTTAAGACTGGATACATGCAAAAACATTTTCACTACAAGCCCAGTAAAGCAGAACAGGTTGTCCAGAGACACTGTGCAGTCTCCATCCTTGGAATTTTTCAAGGCCTGATAGGATAAAGCCCTGAGCAATCTCATTTGACCTCACTGTTAATGTGTTTTGAGCAGGAGGTTGGCCTAGAGACTCCTGAGGTTCCTTCCAACCTGATTCATCCTGTGACTGTAATCATAAGCAATCAGGTAAGTTAGATAGAAGTGCCTGCAAGACAAAAGCCTGAAACTCTAATTAAAGTGTCTGATTAAAATCAGACTGATTTTGATTCACAATAAATTCATTCCTGGCTGTCCTATGCCTAGGTCTCTGACACAGAGCAACATATTAATATAGCTAAGAGTGAAGACCCAAAACTACAAATAAAACTTCTTAAGGGTTCAATTTGACTGAAAACTACATATAGAAATGCATGGGACACATCAAGTGTTTTTAGCTTACCTCTGACTAATGATCACCAGTCATGATTTTCAAAATGCCATTTGGAGTATAACTATTTAGACAGGGCTGTGGAATTCATGTTGCAGCACCAGAAAACCCAAGTGTTACAGCAAGCATGACAGAAAGCCCCCCAACAATAAGCATGTGTGCCACATAGTGCAGTGAAACCACAACACTTGTGTGAAATGCAAACCCAAAGAATCACAGAATGGGTCAGGTTGGATGGGATCACAGCAGGTCATCTGGTCCAACCTCCCTGCTCAAGCAGGGTCATCTTAGAGCACATTGCACAGGATTGTATCCAGATGATTCTTGAATATCTCCAGGAAGGGAGACTCCACAACCACACTGGGCAACCTGTTCCAGTGCTCGGTCACCTGCACAGTAAAGAAGTTCTTCCTCATGTTCAGGTGAAACTTCCTGTGCATCAGTTTCTGCCTGTTACCTTTTGTCCTATTCTGGGCACCACTGAGAAGAGCCTGGCCCCAACCTCTTGACACCTTCCCTTCAGATACTTTAGACATTGATGGGGTCCCCTCTCCTCTCTCTAAGAGAACAGTAATAAAATAGCATAAGGGATAAGAGGTGCACAACACCCTGGACAAGTTGAGTTCTGTTAATCTAAGAACTACCTGTCTGCAAGGACATCCACACATCGGGAAAACTGTACAGTGGGCCAGAGGAACGGATTACTCCCAAGAAAAGTTTTTGTTTGTTTTTAACAGAGCACATTAACACCAATCATTAGGCAAATGTCAACAGACATTACTAATAAGACGTAAGCTTTCTTTGGCAGAGTTAGACCCGCCCAGCTGAGCTTCCCCAGCCCCACTGCAGCGCACCGCGCCCCCACTGCATTCCCTGGGTGACACGGGCCTGCCTGAGAGGGAAGTGGACCAAGGGAACAATCCTCTTCCAGGCAGGGAGAGGGGTGGCGGGGTCCGAAGGCGGGAAGGCAGGCGGGGCCCGGAGCGCGCAGAGGCCCGGGCCGGAGCGGGGGCAGCGCGGCCGGTAACGGGGCCTCACGCGAGAGCCTCCCGGGGCACGGCCGGCGGGGCCAGCGGAGCTGCGGCCTAGGGCCGAGAGTGGCGAGGGCCGGGCGGGCTCACCTGTGGCGATCACTGCCAGCAAGTCCTTCTCCTCCGGGCTCAGGTCGCCCTTCCTGGGGGGAGCCATCGCGCACGGCAAGGCGGGACGGGCCAGGACGGTGCCGGCAACGCCTCCCGCGCCCCCGCCCGCAGCACCGCCCCCTCCCCGCGCCTCGCGGCGCCTTCCGCCCGCAGCCCCGCCCAGCCGGGGCCGGCCCCGGGGCGAACCATTCCCGCCTGGGTATGGGGGGCACTGCGTGCAGACCGCTCCCTTCCGCCGGCCGCCCGTCTCGGCGTTGCCGCTGAGAAGGACCACTCCGCTCTTTTCTCTCATTTTCAACTTGAGAAACGCGTTCTGGTTTTCTTTCGTCTCCCTTTTTTGGCTTCCGCGCGTCCTCCTCTCCGTTCCTCCCCCCCGGGGAGGTGCCGGGAGTGGTGCGGGCGGGCGGAGGCGCCCGTGTGTCAATGTGTCCGTCCTTCACTCCTCCATTGTCTGTCGCCGTAGCTGCCGCTGCCGCGCCCGCTCGCCCTCCCCGCCCCGGACCGCGCAACCACCCGACAGGTGCGGCCGGGAGGGGAGAGCGCCAGGCGGGGGCCGCGCCGGAGCCCCGCGGCGGCGCTGCCCGGGCGGCTGCGGCTGCGGTGGGGCAGCTCCGGGCGGACGGGCGGGCGCGGCGGCCATGGCGGGGCAGGGCGGGCGGCGGCACAGCCCCGGTGCCGGGGCAGGTCCGCGAGTCTGGAAACGCCGCCGTCCGCGGGTGTGCGGGGCCCCCGCACGGGCGGCGCCGGGTCCGCTGCGAGAGGGCGGCGGTGCGCGGTCTGGTGCCCACCGGCTCTTCCCTCCGTGATCCTGCTTTTCTGCCTTTTTATGGCATCGGATTGTGGGGTAGTGGTTGTTTTTTTCCCAGGCAGGAAAAGCGGTTTGTTCGGCTAAAGCGGCCGAGTGGAGCCGTGGCTCTGCCGCGGCATCGTGTCTCCGGGAGGAAGCGGGCGTTGATGGATCGGGAAGGGAAGTAACGAGCTCGGGGTGTTCAGAGCGGTGCCTTTTGTTGGCGCCTTTCTAAAATTAAACTGTCGGTGGAAAAATGATCTTTGTTACGGATCCAACTTTCCACTCCTCCAGCTGAAGCTCGGTAGGCACTAGGACGATCCTGCAGATCTCCAAAGGGCAGAGGCTGAGGTTTAACATCCTTGGTTTCTGCCTGTTTTTGTACCAGAGGGAAAAGCTGGACCCTGATACTTTTTACCCTCCTTTGCCCTACTCTTCAATGTATATTTTTTTATATCCTTTCTTTTAAAGAACCCATTTTTTTCCTGTAACTAATTTTTGAAGGCATAGCTTTATCAGCAAGCTGATTTTTTTTCTTTCCTTAGTACTTGCAGGTCATCTCATGGTTACTTAGGTATTGGAATTTCTCTCTCAAATACTAATCTTGCTCTGTATTTTGACATCTGTTAATGGCTTGACTGACTTTCAGAAATTGTGAAGTCCCATTGTTTGCTTCCTGGTTCAGGGAAGAGCATGCTCTCTGAGTATAGTGGATCTTCATAACTATTTGGGTACAAAACCAAAATGTGATACACTTCTATTTTAACAAAACAGCAAAATTATGTTTTCATGATTTTAAAAATCGTGGAAATACAGGAGCATACCACCATCTAGTTTTACTTACATCAACAAGTGTAAATCACATAGATTGCTTTGGAGTTCATATTATAACAGATTCCCTTGAGGGTTTTTTTTGTGCCAAAACAAAAATGCCTTGAAGGAAATACCCTCAAAGCATTGCCTCAAAGTGCTTTTAATATTCTGATCCAGAAAAATATCCCTATGTGGTGCTAACAAAATTCTGTCACTGGCTCAACATGAAGGCTGAAATTAGGATTTAAGTGCTCTTTTGTTGGTTCACAGCAGGGTGTGACTTTTACCTGCTGTGAACAAATTTTGTGATATTACAGTGCACTGATAATGTCTGTGATACTATTAAATAAGAAATGCCTTCAAACTTCCTTTCATATTCCAGAAAAAAATCCCCAAAATGCGTTGGGTATTCAATATACAAAAGTATGCATATTATATTCCCTTTTTTTGAATATGAAAATGCCAGTACTGTCATTGACCCTAGCTTGCAGAGTGAACAGGCAAACAGTTTTTCCTTGGCGGCATCACTGGAGCTCACTTGGTGAGTAAGGCTACAGGAGTGCTTCATCTGCAAGGGTAATAAAATAACACTAGTTAAAAATGTTGCTTGCTCTTACCTGTGGAAGGACTGTATGACCTTCAATCCTGTAATATGCAGGCATTTCACAGTCTTCAGTTCATCCTTGTGAGATTGTGATGAGGTAATAAAGTGGTGTTGCCTCCATTTTGTGAACATAATCGGAAGCATGAAGGCAACAAGTGATTTTTTTTCAAGGCAGTGTAGGGAGTGAGTGTCAGGGCAGGCAACTGGAACATGAAAATGTAAGTTCTGTACCGTTGTGTCTTGTCCCTTAATGCATTTTCTTTTATCTGCTGCATCTGTTTGTTTTACATATTTAAGTTGTGGGTATTACTGTTTGGTAATTAATCATTTACGTTTTGGGTATTACAGAGGGAGAAGGAAATGTTAACCTCACTGTGACTGAGGATATTTTTTAGATTTAAAAAGATAAGTGTTCATAATAAAAATTCCTTATTTCCTCATCAGGTGATACATGTGATTTGTGAAAGCAGGGACCAGTGGGGACATTTTTCCCCAGTGGTTTGCTGGTTCTAGTGCTTGCAGGTGTGTTAGTGGGAACTTGTGATGGCTGTTGTTAACAGTGTATAGGTGATCCTAAATGTCTGACACTTTCTGCAATTGTTGAGAGCAACATTCATGCAAGAAAATAACAAGTATTTCTTTAATTAAGGAACATTTGTTTTTGGTGAATGTACAAAACAGTAAGCTTTTTCTTGGGTCAAGCTGGGGGAGGAGACTGTCCTGTGCCCTGGAGAGTACACCATGAAACGCTCAGTCTTTGGACACAGAAGAGAGGAAAATGAAATGCTCAACTGGTTTCACTGGTTTTAAGCTGTTTTCTCTGAAATGACCACTCGTGTCATTCACTTGTGTCTTGGAGGCTTGCTAGAATTATGGCTGTGTACTCTGCTGCTCTGTTAATGGTAGTAGGGGTCAAATATCCTATAGCCTCTTTCTGTGCCTGGGCCTGTCAGGATCAGAAACTTGGTCTGACTCACTACATTTTGTCTAGGGGAAAATAAAATAATAGGTCAAACAAGTACTCATATTTCTGTGACTTATTCTTCTAGCTTACATCTCACTGGTTCACTGCTAGGGATTTCCTCAACAAAAAGTGGTGTCTTTGTGTTTACTTTTATATTTGATAGCCTGTCGTAAGTTTTTTGAATTTAGGTAAATTGTGTGTATGCAGCATCCTGTGATTATAACTGTCATGATTGCTTGAAAGAGGACCCCTTTTTACTTGTTTTTGAACTTGGTACTTCATGGTTTCCTTTGATCCCCCAATCTCCAGTTCCTGTTTCGGGAGACAATGAGTCCTGTTCACCCTTGACATGCAGTCATGCCTTGACAGAGTTGTGTTATCCCTGCCATTGTCTTTTGTGAAGTTGAAGTCTTAGGACTATTTACTCATTCCTATGTAAAAGCCATTTCATATGGTTGCCAAATACGCTTTTGTGAAATGGTTCTGTTTCCTGCATGGCCTGGGCTATAGGAAATATCCTTCAAGTAGAGCTTAGCTTTGCAGACAGACCCCCACTGGGTTTTGGTCCTGCCGTCTCCAATCCTTATAATTATATCCTGGCCAAACTTAAGAGGATCTAATAGGATTATTCATTTAGATCAATTCAAGTTCATGCAAGTTCAAGGGTTTTTTATTGCTAGAAACATCCTCTGTTTTTAAATCTCAGATCTCACAAATAGCTATCTGTGGATAGGTTGCTTCTCCCCGCCCCACCCAGTTGATTGGCATTGTATAAAACTCTGACTTCCTTAAGTATTTTTATTTTATTTTAAGTGGGTTTTTTTCAGTTTTCATCTCGTTTTGGATCTCAGCACAGCCACTTGATCCTTGGTGTGATCTGTCAGCATTGCTCTGGCGTGTTTGTACCTGAAGGTAGACTATAAAAAGACCACGGAAGAATAACTGAAACTGGGGAGCACCAATGCATGTTGGAACACAACTGGTATAACCACAATAGCTATACACAAGGTATTCCCATAGCTAAGATGGATACTGAGACATGGATAGAGATTCTCATCTGCTACCCATTCCCTGTGGGACCTTGCACAAAGTTAGGTTTTCTTTACACTCTGCAAAATCCGAGTTATTGTTAGGTCAGATGGAGACGTTTTGTAGGAGATCACTTACAGTCACTGCAGACTCATAGTAGCAGACTAGCGAGATTATTGCTTTTAGTCAGCCTGTAAGAAGGATGGATTGCCTCTGGTGAGAATTAGGAGTAAGTACAAACAGGTCAGGCAAAGGAAATACTAGACACAGTCTGGGATGGAGAGGTTGGCTAGGGATACAGGAAGGAAGCGTCTCCTGTGATGTCCTAAGTCTCAAGGAGAGTTACACCCTTCTACAACTCCTTCAACTACCGCAGGCAGAGCAATTAAATGTGGCTTTGGGGTTGTACTTCTTTGTAGTAACCACTGTTTCATGTGTTTTCCTTAAATGTGTTTTCATGCAGAAAAAGAAGTCTAAGCGGTTCAACGGTTTGTAATTTGCAAGCTAAAGTAATCCTTTTTATTTTGGATTTTGTTTCCATAAATAAAATCCTCTAGTTCTCTAGAAATGTTTTTAAGAGGTAAGATTCATTCAGTGCATTCAAGTTAAACGTTAGTTGTTTTTCTTCTGATAAGACACAGGGTTGAAATCTCGGGAAAATACCACTGAACATTAGCAGATACAGGGCTTGTCATTTGTTTTCACTACCATTTCATTCCCTGAACAATAGAAAATTAGCAAAACAAAGTATGCTATTTGTTTTAAATGCTCAAGGAGTCAGCCCTCTAGAAAGAAGAGGGGATGGTGAGTTTCTTTACAAGCTACAATCTTCTCTGTATGCACCAATATTGATATGAGTTTGGTGTGAGTCTTTTTGCTGCACCTCTCCAAGGTCTGTTTTGTCAAGTCATTTCTGTCTTAGGTCTACTTTGATTACATTGTCTTAATGTGTGGTTTCCTGTGACTGAG